ATGGATGGATGGATGGATGGATGGATGGATGGATGGATGTATGTATGGATGGATGGATGGATGGATGGATGTATGGATGGATGGATGGATGTATGGATGGATGGATGGATGGATGGATGGATGGATGGATGGATGGATGCAGGTAGGTAGGTAGGTAGGTACTGTTCACTTATTGTTCAAGGTAAACAGCTACATATTTTGGAGATGAGTTGCTTTAGGACCTCAGTGATCTACTTTGATCTTGATCTCCCTTTATCTGTTAGCTCGTGCAGGCAGTCAGAATTAAATCTGTTTCTCCAAACTGAAGTCGTTCAACCTGGTTTGGAATCTGTTGCAAAATGTTTCAAGAAAACACGATGAAGTAAATTCAAACACAACTGGTCGTTTTGTGTTTGGCCTTAATACTCGATTACTGATCAACATAGTGTACACATAACTGCTCACTTAACTTGCTTTCACGGGCAGATTTGAAACTAACATTAATGTTAATGTAAGGGACTGACATGGCTTTACTAGATGGACTGAGTCACTAACTTTGAGTTGTCTCAACAAGAACATTAAGGTGAGAGTGCTTTCTGCCTCTCTCTGTCCGTCGTACAACTAAAAGCCAAATGTTGGTATTTGAGGGTACTTTCTTGTCTCACAGATCTTTCCTGACCTCAAACCTGTTTCACGCTACATGTCTCTGTGTTTGGGGCAATTTGCAGAAGTACAAGGCACTTCTTTGACTCACATGTTTTCCTGTGGTTTTATCAAGAACATCTGTCAGAAACGGATGTATGAGGTGATAGACAAGTTTTAGCTGTTGGATAGAAAAAGGTAAACTGTGCACGGCAGGAAATTAGTTGGAACAAATAGAAACTAAACCTGCAACACACGAGATGGAAACAACGTTAGTGAGCTTGGTAAAGATTCAAACCACCCACCCAAATATAGCAGACATAATTACATCTAATCAGGAGGGCATGGCTGCTGAGCTGCTTCACATCCTCCCATTGAGGTTTCTCCAAAGCCTGAAATTCACCCAGCACACAGAACTTGGGCAGCGCCTACCACAGTTCGCAAGTGGGCTTTTCAAAGCTGGTCTCAAGTTTCAAGAAGCTGGGAAATATTAGTCCACTTCCGTTAGCCATCATGTGGCAGAGAGAGTGGGAAAGGGTGTGTGCAGAAAGATGCCAGCGAATAGGACTGTTTACATTTGTTCTGCATCCTGCAGAGCTGGGATGAAAACTGCACAATAACTGGACTGTTGTGTCCACCACTGCATGCAGCACTGTGTGCAAACACAACAAATTCACTGCGTCTTTTCCCACTTACAGCTGTTTAGAACAGCTGTGGTAAGCAGCTGAACAGATGTTGGTTTTATGAAACGAAACAGAGACTTGCATGAGATTGGAGGCGCCTGCTTGACAATTACTGGAGGTATTTCCAACTGGGCTGAGCTCTGTAGATGGTTCAAGCTGCTGGTGCTTCTCATACCAGTCTGAGGAATGTGGCAGCAACTGGACAAACAATGTGCATGCGAGAGCTGCTCCAAAAACTTATTAATAGACTCCAAAGCGAAAATAAAACGGCATTAAATTAAAACCTTATGTGGAAAAGCAGCTGTTCAGATACTCATTCAGGAGGTCCGAAAACTCTTTAAACTCCCTCATTCTGCTACAACAATAAAAACCGTAAAAGAAGAAACTCGAGCTGTTTCGTGAAATATCGTCTCGCGCCTGAACAAATCGACATATGTTCACGGGACAAACGAGAAGCGTGGCCGAGTGGAGCTTTGAACAATTACCATATTTCGGTTTTTCGTCCAGTTCCATCCTCTGAAGCTCAGCAGGCGACAGCTACAGCATATTTCCAGACTCCGCCGTGGCCAAAACGCGACTTTTAGTTCAAGTCCGCTCCAAAACTCTTGGGAGTCCCGTAAACATTTAATGGGCGGTTCTATTGCCAACGGTTGGACCAATCAGAAAGCAGTAGAGCGTGATTGACAAGACGCTCAACCAATCGCTGCCCGCGACAAGGTTAATTTTTAGCACCGTTATCTGAGATCCGTGTGACTCGTTTAAGTGCTTTTTTATCAATGACGTAATCATAATTGAATGAACAGGGTTGATTGAAAGTGGCAACAAAATCAAATCAGTCTAATGCTGAATCACTCAAACAAAGTCTGTATTCAAAATATAAGCAAATCCAAATTTTACATCTGAAACAGTCAAGTCAAATCTATTTATAAAGCCCATTTATAAACAGCAGCAGTTACCAAAGTGGTTAACAATAACAATCAATGGCAGTAATTTAATGAAAAATAATACCATAAATTAATTAAAAGCATTTTTTAAAAAGCATAATAAAATACTAAATCAAATCACACTGTGCTAAAAGTCAGCGACGTGTTTTTAAAAGAGACTTAAAAACAGGAAGTGAAGCGGCCTGTCTAATGTTGGGGAGCAGATTGTTCCAGAGTTTAGGGGCCGTGACTGAAAAAGCCCGATCTCCTCTGAGCTTCTACCTGGTTTTTGGTACAACCAAAAGCAGCTGATCAGGTGATCTCAGCACCTGAGAAGAAACATATGGTTATGTCATAGAGATAAGAGGGTGCAAGGCCATTAATGCACTTAAAGGTCAACAGGAGAATTTTAAAACCTATTCTGATACTACAGGGAGCCAGTGAAGGAGGACAAAACTGGTGAAATATGATCAAACGAGTTCCTGTTAAGAGTCGAGCTGCAGCATTTTGGACAAGCTGGAAAGGTGAAAAGGAGACCTGACTGACACCAACATAAAGCAAGAGCATAGAAATACAAACAGAAATAGAAAAAGCTTCACACACAGCACCCATATTAAACAACTAATCTAAACTATACCAAATATATACATTTATGTATGTATAATTGACTACTGCCAATATTGTAGTCAATGTACATATATGAAAATAGTGCAAAATATAAGTTTATATATTAAGATACTTTACAAATAACACACACGCATACATTTTTTCTGTTAACAATGTTTTTTATCTGTACAGTCTTGTTCCTATTGGATAAATGGTCTTATCTTATTTTAAATCATTTATATCAACTCTGTAATGTATAGCTCTAAAATCAAATGTGAACAGAGTGAAACATTACTTAAATTATTGCGTAAGGATATTTCATTTATTTGGTTGTATAGAAGGTTTGTCTTATTTTTTACACAAAGAGAGTGAAGCAACGTGACACCATTTCCTTCTCCAAATGTTGCTGCATTGAAGGAATTGTGCAAAATAGTATTTCAGCAAAATAATCATGTTGTTATGCCTTAAAGCACATGTGTCAAACTTAAGGCCCGGGGCCCAAATGTGGCCCTCGTTGACATCTTATCTGGCCCCCAAGATGAAACGTACAATACTTCTATCTCTTGAATTTTTTCAGTAATCTTTGATTATGATGTCAAAAGCACAACAGAGACCATCAAATGAGACCAATCAAACTCTGTGACCAAGAAAAGATGCTGGGTATCTGATTTGAGCTCATGTAGATTCTGAAACAGGCCCTTAGTTTGAAAAGGGTTTTCATTTTAGCCACTTTTGCAAGCGAGTTTGACACCACTGCCTTTGTTTTCACTGTGATTAGCTTAATGGCAATTTAAAATAAATATGTAATTTGCATTTTATCTGTTTTTCTAATCAGAGAGAGAGAATAAAAGAAGAGGTCTGTGGCTTCAGTACAGCCATAAAGAAGCCTTATGGCAGACATTTATTAAATATGTTTGTAAGTCACCACTAAAGTGAAATCAAAAACCAGTCTGTTAAAATGATCAGTTCCATATTATTTTACTAAAGTGAGATTTTACTTGTTTTTGGAATAATTTTAAGCCACGCTTGTCATTATTTTCTACGTTCAAAGATTTAAACACGTCTGTAGCTACTGGTGTACTTAAAAAATAATAGTCAGCATGCTGTATAATAATGAATTAATTAATTTAGTTATTCTTCCAGTCATAAAGAAAGAGACACGTTCCAATGATTCTGTGCAGGTGACACATTGAGCCACTAGATGGCGATGTTTCCTCACTTTGATAATGTTTCATCCATATTTATTAAACTAATACTGTTGATAATTCTTCAGTGGTGTCAAGAATTTATTGTTTGCCTAATCATTTATAATATTTTGGCACTTAAAAGCGCCAAAGTAATATTGTAGCTTTATTTATCCCTGCTTTGTTAGCGAGCACTTACACTTCCCTTCAGTCAAAGTGTGGGGGCAGGGGAGACATTAAACATGTTTGAAAAAAGTTTGTAATCATATGTTTTTTCAACAAATTAAATATTAATAAATATATCAATCAAACAAACAGAGCAGTGCATAGACATGCTGCATGTGGTTCACTCTGTGAAAACCAATGCATTGTGTCATCTGTGGCACCTTAGGGAGTTTTTAATGGCCCCTTAGCAAAAACATTTAAAATAATAACTTGTTGCACAGTGACTCAGCTGGTAGAGCTGCTGCCGCTCAGCGAGAAGGTTGCCAGTTCAAATCCTAGCCCGGGGCCTTTCTTGGTGGAGTTTGCATGTTCTCTCTGTGCACACGTGGGTTTTCTCTGGGTGCTCCAGTTTCCTCCCACGATTGGCGTCAGAAGCATTTGTAAAGTGGGGGGTCCACACTGGGGGTCCTCCCTCAGAAATGTTTGAATAGATGCCATTTCCTGCATTCTGCTGTATTTTGACGGGTTGTTAAACATCTACTTTTACCTACATTTGTAAACACTTGATTCAAAAGCTATTTTAGAGAGCAACAAGAAGTAGCGCCAAGCTAGCGGCACGCATTATAGAGGTGCTAGCTAAGATGCTTTAGACGTAGCGCTACACTTGACATTACACAAACACTTGGTGCAAAATCACTTTAGCGCTAACTGATCATAACAAAGACTAAACTTGTGCAACCAGAAGTTGCAACGTCTACATTTAAAACACACAATACAATCAACTGGGAGAGGCGCAAGATGGAGGCAGATCTTGAAGCAGCGTTTTGCCGGGTTCCCGTCAGACCTGCCTGAAAAACTGCCTCGTATAATTACTATTCTCGCTGCCTCTACAGTGAAATCTTCTTCTGAGCTTGGTGTTGTCGCAGGATTGATTCGACTGAGCTGTGATGTGGCCTCTAAATAAAAAAAAACCATGACAGCGTGGCCCAGAGATACTGTTCCAGCCTCGGACCATTGTGAAGCTGCGGATGGATGGATGGATGGATGGATGGATGGATGGATGGATGGATGGATGGATGGATGGATGGATGGATGGATGGATGGATGGATGGATGGATGGATGGATGGATGGATGGATGGATGGATGGATTTTGTTGCATTACTCTGTCACTGTTTTGCAGGCTGTTTCATTTTGAGGATTATTTCTGAAATGCATTTTGACTGTAGATTAGTGAGAAAGATTGAATGTAAACATCATATATATTTTTATTTTTTTTTATTTTTTATGTGAAGCTAATAAAAAGTGCCATAAAAAAGCTTTGTCCACTTTTTGTCACATTACATCCATAAACCGTTTGACCAGAGATTTTATGTGATATAGATTCTCACTTAGGTCTGAAGTTTAACTGGGAGATTGCTTGGATCTAACTCGTTCCATCGCAGCTCCAGTCGGATGCTTCTGGTGGTTTTAGAAGGTGACCCGACACCCCAGTCTCAAGTCTGCAGCCTCTCGCAGATTATCTTCCAGGATTGTCCTGTATTTAGCTCCATCCGCCTTTCCCTCAGCTCTGACCAACTTTCCTGTCCCTGCTAAAGAAAAGCATCCCCACAGCATGATGCTGCCGCCACCATGTTTCACAGTGGGGATGGCACGTTCACGTTCACCTAAAATCTCAGTAAAACGATTTGAAGTTTGTGGTTTAAATGTAAATTAAAAGTAGTAAATTATTTCTCATGGCAAAGATGACTGTAAACCAAAATGTGAAATGTGTCTTGTAGACTTAAATCTTATAAACACACATTGCAGCCACTGGGATCTTGTATTTATAAATTAGTCCTAATTATGAAGCAGCTACTGTTATGATTATGATGGTACAGTATCTCATAATACTTAGATAAGTTTATACAAAAATTGTAGAAATGGGCTTGCATAAATTGTAAATTGTAAGTAAAATGCACTTTTACTTTCAAATAGATATAGATACAATTACTTTTACAAAAGTAAAATGTAAGCCCATTATGCTACTGGGAAGTCAAAGCAAAGTTTATTTCTATAGCACATTTACCAAAACAATCATAGTTGACCAAAGTGCAAGACAATCAGCAAATACATGAACCGAAAATATGAAAATGCAAAAAAACAAACAAAACTAATCCAGTAAAATCTAAGCTAATGATAAATAAATGGATCTGTTAAGTTTACACAATAAAAACAATGTAATCTACTCATCTAGGGCAAAACAGGGGTCAGTTTTAGCATAGATTAAAATTTGTCATTACACTGCAGTTCGCATTTTATATTTGACTTTCTGTTTGTCTCACTAAACAAAAGAAGGGCAAGAAAACAAGAAAGCTGTGGGTTCACTATCATAACTATTAAGAAGATAAGACTGACATAAAAATATGACATTAAAAATACGATGGAACAGCTGACGGATAGATCTGAAGATCATTAATGAAACAGCTTTCTGATAATGGACCCTAAGAAAACAAATCAACAATATATAATGAGCAAAGTCATCATAAAACTGACATATTGTCTAGTAATAATAATCATATTTGAATCTACTTCATTGTAACAGACGCTTCTGCACGCCCCTGAAATAAGCCAATCAGAGCCCTCTATTTTCTGTCAGCCATAACTGATGAGCGCAGTGTTTAAAATTAAAACAACATAATTTTATTTATTTTATTATTTTCCCTTATTTGTATACAATTTATTTCCCGTCACACATACCAAATAATATATAGAACTTTTTACTAAAACTGTCATTTTGCCACGCTAAACCATGACACTTCCTGCTTGACGTGCATTACGTGATGACGTAACATTCTGTTTTGACGTTTAGCGCCGCTGAGTTGTGAAAGACTTACAAGCGGAGCGAGGAGTAAGAGGGTTTAATTATCCCAAGTTACACACGTAAATGTTTATCATACCGCTGTTGTGTTTATATTTTGTAACACATAGTGAGCGCTGTTACTTTAGTTAACTTTATGTTTTTTCTTATTTACTCTCAAGTTGCTAACGTTAGCGCGTTAGCCTCGAGTTAGCTAACCGCACAGGTGTTGGCTAACTAGCTGCACTACTTTAAGAACTGTCGAGGTCCAGTCTGACTGCTTCTGTGTTCATATGCACAGAACAAAACAGCGTCTGAATAACATGCAACTTCTGTCGCTCACAACCCAACAGTTCAGTAATTTATTGCGCTCATGATGAAATTATTTATGGTCATGTATCTAACACAGACGTGCAGTCATGGCTCTGAGGAGCGCTGTGTGTCGTGTCCTGAGGAACCCCCACAGATGTGTCCTCGTCTCGGCCTCCAGAACACAAGGCACCGCGGCACCGGCCCAACACGGTCAGTACTCTGTGGTTCTGTCACGGTGGGGGTCAGGTCTCAGACACACGTGGTCCAGATGGGACCAAGAGCTTGATACCATCACCAGTTTTATTGTGTTGTTCAGTGCGTTTGCTTCAAAAGGTGTTACCCTCTTGACTTAAACAATTTATTTGAATCAGTGATTAATAAATTTTTCTTCTATTTATGCAGAATGAGCCTGTAAAAAGTTAAAATATGATGCAACACATGAGTGTTGGTGGGTTAGGTTTTATGAAATATCCCTGCATGTTTGCACGAACTCCTTCTACAAAGGGTTCCTTTACATTAGAAATCAATAGAAATTAAACCACACGGTCTGTCGTTGTATAACAAGATGTTTTTCTCTTTTCTTTACTTCTAGATGCGCAGAAGTCTGAACAGAAATCTAAAACACGTAGGTGTCGACAACCACCCAAACAGAATCCAAAACGTCATTAAACTGAATCTCTTGTCAAAAGAGACGTTTGCTGTTGTTTTAAAGGTCTTAAATTGTTCTTGTTGTAACATGTTCGCCAGCTAAAGTCCAGTTCAACTGGCAGGATGCCCTGGACCTCGAGGGCCAGCTGACAGAGGAGGAGATCATGATCAGGGATTCCTTTCGGACCTACTGCCAGGAGAAGCTGATGCCTCGCATCCTGATGGCAAACAGGAATGAAGGTGCGAGAGCAGTTTGCTAAAGTTGTAAATTCATAACTTGACTTTTCATTCACCGAGTGGTTTTATTCTTTCACGGCGTGGTCTTGTGCACGACGATGTGTTTTTAATGAGAGTTTGATATTGTCAGTGCTGCAGAGAGATACTTAGTGAGTTTGTCTCTTTTTATGTTGTGGTGGGAGAAAAGCATTTTTGTAACTGGGCTTTTGTTCTCAGTGTTCCACAGAGAAATAGTGTCTGAGATGGGAGAGATGGGAGTTCTGGGCCCAACTATTAAAGGTCAGTCTGAATGCACAAAACTAGAATTTTACTGTGAAATTTTAAGTCAGAAATCTGTTCTTTCTCATCGCTTGCACGTCATGAACTTTGGCCCAGTACCCACTGAACCTTAGTGTTTTGAGTCACCACTGTGTGTTCACGTCTAATGTCCCAGCTCAGTATATGTTCTTTTATTTTCTTGCCTTTCCTAATGCAAACTCCTCTTCCTGTGTTTGCTGTTCAGGTTATGGCTGTGCTGGGACGAGCTACGTGGCGTACGGCTTGATCGCCAGAGAGGTCGAGAGGGTGGACAGTGGCTATCGGTCCGTCATGAGCGTGCAGTCCTCACTGGTCATGCATCCTATTAATGCCTATGGCACAGAAGAGCAGAAACACAAATATCTGCCCAAGCTGGGTAAGAAGAAAACAACAGAAAGCCTCGATGATGTCACAGGATTGTGATCTGTTGTGCCGACTGACATCTGAGGTACATGTTGTGTTTGAGTGCGTTCTGCCGTCTGTTTCTCGCAGCTCGCGGAGAGATTTTGGGCTGCTTCGGCCTGACGGAACCAAACCACGGTAGTGACCCCGGCGGCATGGAAACAAGAGCCAAATATAATCCGACCAGCCGCACCTACACCCTCACCGGCTCAAAGACCTGGTGGGTGAGGAGATTTGGGGAGTTAGTTGTCCAGTCAGTTTTTCAGAATGAATTCAGTTTAAATCTCTACTACCACGTTTCTTTGTTTACTGCAGTTTTATTTGAATACTTTTTGTGTGTGTAAGTAAATATAGTGTCCACATGAGCGCAAACATCTGTTTCTGCTTTGCACTTCTTTTTCTACTTGCCTTTATGTTGCGGCAGCTGTGTCTGAGTGGTTAGAGCAGTCGTCCTCCAATGTGAGAGTTGAGGGTTCGATTCCACCAGCACTCGTTGAAGTGTCCCTGGGCACGACACTGAACCCCTCACTGCCTCCGATGTGTGTCCCATCAGTGTGTGAATGTGATAAAGCTCTGATTAGTCTTTGTATAGATCTAGTAGAGTGCTGTATGAATGAGGCACAGATTGTGTTGTAAAGAGCTTTGAGTGTCTTGATGAGATTTAAAAATACTAGTACAGTCCATTTACTATTTATGTTGCTGCCCACACTTTATTAAGTGTTGTGGATGGATTTAGTTTTACTAATAAGTGCATATAAAAAGTCATCCTTATATTTTTTAGCTTTACCTCACAAGGAGAAGATAACATCCTGCAGAAAATCTTTTGCCCTCTTGACTAATTTTCGAACTGGATACAATACTTTAACCTGATCCTCTGGATATTGACTGAAAGCCTAATATGTAATTGATTGATCTACGTTTGTAAGTAATGTTTGTTGGATGTAGTTCCACTGCTGCAGATCGACGTAACAGCTAAGTGCAACCGCAAAAGCACTGCTAACATTGTAAGCCAGCTGTGTTAACATGTGGTCAGTCACACGATAAGACAGACGCAGGTTGGGAGCAGCTCAGTGTCACATGATGAGTCCAACATCGTGGCGTGGAACCAGCATCTTTCGTTAGGCGTTACATACTCACCAACTCAACTCTGTGACTACTTTACTCTGTTACTCAGAGGTGGAGCAGAAGTGAATCAACTTTTACAAAACCTCACGCACGACGCTCGGGTGGGATGAAGGCGCCTCAGTTTGAGAGGAATTATTTGACTTATTATTGTTGAAGTTTTTGGGAATTTCTCTGACCGTGTGGCCTTTCCAATAATGTCAAAAAAACAGCTTAGATGTTTTAAAATATAGATCTTGTATTTGACACGTTTTTAGTTCGTGTGAGAGAAGAACTTGTGTCAGTCGCTGTCCACATGGTGGTGCTCCTTACCAGAGAGTACTGGAGCCACAGTTCATGTTCTGGACTTGTGTGTGTGTGTGTGTGTGTGTGCGTCCTGATTTTGTTCAGTTTTAAAGTATGCAGTGACATACATGTTCACATTTCCACCACAGAACATATTAAAATAATAAACAGGTAATTTTCCATCAATAAATCAGTTTTGTCCCCATCATTAGATTTAGAGCCTATAAATAGTTTTGTTTACAGGAAGAACCTTACCGTGTCCCCCCCTCACATTCAGGATCACCAACTCCCCGGTGGCAGACGTTGCGGTGGTCTGGGCTAAATGTGACGATGGGAAGGTGCGAGGCTTCATCTTGGAGCGTGGCATGAAGGGCTTTTCCACACCGAAGATCGAAGGAAAGTTCTCTCTGAGAGCCTCGGCCACCGGGATGATCCTCTTAGATGATGTAGAGGTTCCTGAGGAGAACCTGCTGCCTAAAGCCTCCGGCCTGGGGGTGAGTGAACTATTGTTGATTTTATCGTAATAGTATTGTAATAGATTCTTAATATTTGTATATGTGATCACTTACATCCATAATAAATTAATGAAATGCATTTAGGAGCTTTGTTCTTTTGATGTTTTAGTGGAAAATAATAAAAGTTCCCTTCCTTGCCTCCAGGGTCCATTTGGTTGCTTGAACAACGCTCGGTATGGTATTGCATGGGGGGCCCTGGGTGCTGCAGAGTTCTGTTTCCACGCCGCTCGTCAGTACACGCTCGACAGGTCAGGTCGTCTCTTTACTGCAGTAAAATGTTTAATGATTAAGGAGATAAAATCGTGTTTTTAATGTTTGCTAAACTAGAATCCAGTTTGGCGTGCCTCTGGCCAGGAATCAGCTGATGCAGAAGAAGATGGCCGACATGCTGACAGAGATCACCATCGGCCTGCAGTCCTGTCTGCAGCTGGGCAGACTGATAGACGAGAAAAAGTAAGGACCACCTCCCAGATTAAGTGTCGATGCACGGTGGTGTTGCAGAGCTGTCCAGAGGGTCTGTCCTTAAACCAAGAGGACATCTAGGAGTTCAGACTGTGGAAGATAATTCCTGTTGATTTTGTTTTTACAGCTGGAAAAACGGGCTCACACGTCAACGTGTGGACAAACCTGTGATGTTCAATATTAGGGTCGAAGTGTGTTGGTGTTGATCATACGTGTGTGTTGGCACAAAGCCGAGGAGAAAATATATCAGCAGTCAGATTAAACGTCGTCATTTTACAAATAGAAAAATGCTCCAGTCCAGGTTGTTTAAAGAAGAGTGCATGAATAAGAAAGTGTAGGTGCAGGTAAAGTCCAGACCTCCACCTGATTCAAACACTGCGGTGGGACAGAGTTCGTGCTGCTCTCACCACAATGAGCAGTTGCCACACAAACGTTTTGCATGGATTAAAGTTCTCCATCGACGCAACGGATTTCTGTCATTTTGATCGTGACCTGGACGGATCTCCGTCATCTGTAAAAATGAGGAAGTTGTTTTGTTGTGGTCTTTTAAAAGCCATCCAAGCTAATGATGCAGGGATTAAACTGATGCTGCTGTTTCCTCCCTCACTCTCGAGCAAGACGGACGCCTTTCTCCCCTCTCCTGTCTCCCTCCTGCTTTTTCTCTCTCTGGCCTGCGTATCGGAGCTTCTGTTTACTCCTCTTCCAAATCCTAAATTACCATCATGGATCTGGTCAGCTGGACTTTCAACGCAAGTGATAACATTTTTTTCAACCAAGCGCCAGGGTCCTGGAGAGCCCTCATGCCCCGCTGAGACGCACGTGGGTACGCCATGGATCCGTGGGCGGATTGGAAGTTGATGTGCCTTTCTGTGTTGTCTCAGGAGGACGCCGAAGATGTTTATATCATTGGATTTATGATAGCAGGGTTTCTGCTTTTTAGCACCGTCAGATACCCGTGTTATCGGCTGTTAAAGAAGACGGCGGCAGCAGGTCGGGCCGTGGCAAAGCTGCCGACCTTATGTGAAGGTTTGGTTCGTGCTTCGAGCAGACTCAGCTGATTTACGAGCTCAACCGTAAGATGGAAGCGATTTGTGAGAATCGTAGGCCACTTGCGGCTTCTGGGACTCGCCAGCATGTTGGGGACGACCTTGGTGGAAGCTAATAAGGACGGACCAGTGGAATGCCCACAAATCCAGCCATTTTGGATCATCGTGATTCCCTTTAAGACTCTAGGCTGACGAGAAATAACAGTCTGCCTGAAAAAAGTAACAACTGTGGCTTAACTGAATCTGACTCCCTCGTTCGGCCTTGAAGCTGGCCAACTTATCAGATTTCTCCTGGGACATGTGTAAACTAAGAAGGCTTTGCTCTATCTGTCCCCCACACAACGCCCCCCCCCCCCACCCCACCCCAAGAACTTCTGTGAAGGTTTATCAGAGCTGTACTGGCTGACACCAACATCTTATCAGGACTATGGTCTATCTGGAAGTGCTGCATGGACAAATCTCACCATCTTGTCATCAGATACATATGTGATGTGTCTATAAATGTGCTGCTGGTAGAGTTTTTTGATATCTTAAATCAAATGAGTCAAACTCAAGGCCCGGGGGCCAAATGTGGCCCTCGCTGACATCTGGCCCCCAAGATATGTGAAATGTAGAATACTTCTATCTCTTTAATTTTTTCAGTAATCTTTGATTATGATGTAGAAAGCACACCAGAGAACATCAAATGAGACAATCAAACTCTTGTTGAGGAACCTGTGACCAAGAAAATATGTTTGGTTTCTGATTTGAGTTCATGTAGTTTCTGAAATTGGTCCTTAGTTTGAAAAATGTTTTAATTTTGGCCCCGTTTTGTGAGTTTGACACCCCCGTCTTAAATTGTGTCCTGACAAGGACAAGGTGTGAAGAGATCTATTTTGTATTACCACTGTCCTCTCCTCATGGCCTTCCCCTTTTTTATCTAAAGAATAAGGAGTCACGCTCAGGAACAGCAGCCACGTGCACTCCGCCCATCTTTTGGATGACTGCACGAACATAATCTCTCAGTACGTCGGTGCAATGATAATAAAGTTTATTCTGATTCTGTCAACCAGTAAAGCAAAGCAGAGCCACAGTTCAGTCAGTCAATCTAGAAAATTACTACTACTAATAATAAAGTTGATTTATACTCTTCAAAGTAACCTGTAGGTGTAGATATGACATCATTAATTGCCAAAATGAAACTTTGTATTGTTCACTGGAAATATTACCTCCCTCTTGGCTTGTCCAGACTCTGGCCTGTACTGGTCCAACAGTGTTGATGATAATTAACAACTCCCTGAACAAAGGGTCCGTCCCATCGTATTTTAAAACGGCAGAAGTGACCCCTCTCTTAAAGAAGCCTAACCTTGATTCTGGCTCCCTTTCCAACTTCCGTCCCATCTCTAAACTGCCTTTTCTCAGTAAGTTACTTGAAAAAGTTGTAGAAACCCAACTCAGATCCTGGTTCTGTCAGTTACACATCTCTGATCCCTTTCAGTCTGGTTTTCTAAAACCATTCCACTGAAACTGCTCTAGTAAAAGTCCACAACGATCTGTTAATGGCTGCTGATGAAGGAAAATGCTCTGTGTTGGTCCTGTTAGATCTTAGTGCTGCCTTTGATACCGTTGAGCACACAACCTTATTAAACAGACTGAAGGTTGTGGCTGGTATTTCTGGCTCAGCTTTGGACTGGCTCACATCATCCCTATCTCACAGAACTTTCTGCATCAAGACGGACAGGTTCTCCTCTGATTATGCCCCCTTGTGGGGTGCCACAAGGCTCAGTTCTGGGTCCACTTTTGTTTTCCTTTTATATTATCCCACTTGTCAGCATTATTCAATCCTTTTCTGATATTTCCTATCATATTTATGCTGATGGCATTCAGTTGTATTTTTCATTGAGACCACACCGGCTGGATAAATTGGCCATCCTTGTCCAATGTTTGTCCCGTATCAGTGACTGGCTTGCCAGTAACTTCCTGGTTTTAAACACCAGTAAGACAGAGACTTTGATTACTCCTCCCAGTCACCTTTACCCAAAAATCAATCAGAAAATTGCCTCTTTCTGCCCAGTAGCCAAATCAAAAGTAAAACACTTAGGAGTCACATTTGACTCATTAGGCTTTGAGTCTCACATTAGAGCTATTTCCCGTTCTTGTTTCTTTCATTTAAGAAACGTTTCTAAAATACGACCTCTGGTCTCCAAAACTGACCTAGAGAAAATTATTCACGCTTTTGTGTCATCACGTCTGGACTACTGTAATGCCCTTTTTACCTGCGTGGACAAGTCTTCTGTTTCACGTCTACAAGTAATTCAGAACGCAGCTGCCAGACTTCTCACCAGTATTGTTTTTGACTGCCATTTTGATTTTAGTTTTAGTCTTAGTCTTTTAGACAAAAATACTTCTTAGTTTTAGTCAGTTTTAGTCATTTCTATATTTAATGGTTTTAGTCCAGCTTTAGTCGACAAAAACTTTAAAATTTTAAGTCTAGTTTTAGTCTTTAAAATAAATAGAAAACATATTAGTCTTTACAAATTAATTTGAGTAATTTGTTTTAATAGTGGAATCAAATACTGGTACTCCAAAAATGCCCAAAACAAAAACATTCTCACTTTGTGGCTTTATTTCTCAAAATGTGCTAAAGTGCAATGAAGTACAAATGCCCAATATTATAATAAAAGGGAACACACATGTTAAACTCAAACTTTTCAACCAGGACAATGAAGACATAAAAACAGACTGTCCTAAACCTTGACTATCTTTAACTTGTGCAAACATTCTAAACCAAAATAATAAAATATATCTCTTCTTATTCTCTTAAAGTATGAAATATGCCACTGGAAGTTTTGAAATCTAAAATGAATAAGTCAACCCCAGAACACTTAAGTACTGTATACACACTGTATCTGGTCTTTAAAGTAAGTATGAAATAAATAAACAACAAAAATACCATACATCCCTGCATGTTTTACACGTAACAGTAGCCGACGTTAGATTAGCACAACAAACAAGCTAATAGCACGAAGTTAGCATCCACGTGCGCAAGCAAGGACAGGATTTATAAAAATAAAATTAAAAAAACATTAAGTTTACACGAAACTGGAGTTGTGAAATGTGTCACAACCCGTTTGGTTTGTCAAGTAACATTGCATGTATGTACATTACAAAAATAGTAGTTGTAACTAACTTACCTTGGAAAAAATATCAGGGTGGTGAGCCTTCAGGTGCCGCTTAAGATTTGTCGTGTTTTTTCCACCAAGTTTAAATCTACATTTACCTCCGTCTCCCTCGACGATACATTCGGTTCTTCTTTCAGTTGGGTTAAATACAAAATAAGTCCATAAATCCTTTCTGGGTTTGCGTCCACCGAGCCCCTTCATAAAACGTGCAGCATCTGCCATGGTCCAGTTTGAAATGAAGTCAAAGGTGAGCGCGCGGTGCATCAGCGCGGTTGGGTAGCAGTGGGTGTGACCAATGGGCAGAAATATTGTGCATTCTAAATTATTGACGGACCACCGACAAACATTTTCGTACAGTCTCATCTCGTCAACGAAAACTCACACACATTTCGTCATGTTTTAGTCATTAAAGAGCAATGTTTATTTCGTTACCGTCTCATTATTGTCATGAAAAAAGGGGGCGTCGACGAAAAGTTTTCGTCATCGTCATCGTTAACGAAAACAACACTGCTTCTCACCAAATCCAGCAAATACTGTCACATCACCTCGGTCCTATATTCACTGCACTGGCTCCCAGTGGAGTTTAGAATCCGTTTTAAAGTTCTTGTGCTGACGTACAGAGCTTTAAATGGCCAGGCCCCTGTGTGTCTTTGCCAGCTTTTAACCAAATACTCTGAAACACTCTGCTGCTCGTGGCCTTCGCTCCCAGTCACAGAACCTCTTGGATGTTCCACGTACGCAGCTGAAAACTAAAGGGGACAGGGCCTTTCAGTCAGTGGCCCCCAGGCTGTGGAACAGTTTGCCCCTGCAGCTTCGTTCTGCTGACTCTGTTGACGTTTTTAAAAAGCAACTGAAAACACTTTTATTCTCCCAGGCTTTTATCTCATGATTTTATTATTGTGCTTCTTGAAGTTCTTATGCTCGTTTTATTCTTTGTATGTTTTAGTGTTGATTTTTATTGTACAGTTCTTTGTGATGTTATGTCTGTGATAAGCGCTTTATAAATAAACTTGACTTACTAGAGAAGATTTGAGTCCAAAGATGTTTTTCTGTTTTAATCCCTGGTTCTGCTCAGAGCGGCTCCAGAGATGATCTCCATGCTGAAGAGGAACAGCTGTGGTAAAGCCTTGGATGTCGCCAGGCAGGCCAGAGACATGCTGGGAGGCAACGGCATCGCAGACGAGTACCACGTCATCCGCCACGTCATGAACCTGGAGGCTGTCAACACATACGAAGGTGAGGCGTGAAGGTGCATCCGCCTCCACAGAGAGCCGCCGTCGTTCGTCTGGTCTAATATTTGTTTGTTCTTCCTCCAGGTACTCATGATATCCACGCTTTAATCCTGGGCAGAGCCATCACAGGACTGCAGTCCTTCACCGTCGACAAATAGATCCAATCGTTTGCTGCAACAAACAACTCTGCCAGATCGGTTTGGAAGAAAAAAGTGTTTTTGCTTTTTATGGGTTTGCAAAAAATTGAGTGCTTTAATCAGAGAGAAATACACATTTTTAGAACTTTTAAGCTGATGAAGATTGTAAGAACCTCTGAAGTCAAGTTTTTTAATTTAAAGATGGTTATTTTTCCACAAATAGAAGCAGTTCTTGTATTTCATTGAATGATGTTTTATCACGGCAGTGAACAAGTGTGGACAGTCTGGGGAAAACCTAAACAGTACCGTTGTTGCTGTATTTGTATTTAAAACTGTCATTATAAATCCTGACTGTCCGTAGAGTGTTTGTAATTGCATGTGAAGCTTTTTGTGCTAAATGTTAATTAGTGTAAGAGATCGTGTTACAGGTGGGTATTACTTCCAGCACTTTACAAACTATGACACTAAAATAGTAACTCTGAGGTCATTTCAATAAAGAGATAATTTAAAACGATACGTGCGTGCAGGACAATACGTTTAGAGTGAACATGAACATTTTGTAGGGTCCTCGTTGAAGGTACCCCCTGAAATACCAACGTCCCTCCCCTTTATGCCATAAGGTCTACAGCAAGTTGGAGAGTTTGTTCTCCCACATCATGGAGCGAAGAGGGGGAGTTGGAGATACCCTCTGTTCATCCGACATAATAACTTGAAAAATAAGTGAGGTACAATTGGTCATTTTGGTGTGTGGGTACATCTAGGTGCAAGAAGGTTTCTCTCAAAAAACTGGGTTGCCATGTCAAAATCCAAGATGGCTGCCACCATCCATCCATATTTACCAGCTTCTTTGGGGGGGGGGGGGGGGGGATCACTTGTGCCCATGTCCAGCCATCACTGCGAGAGGCGGGGGTACCTGTAGAAAACCTATAGAACTTGAGAGCATGCACAGAGGGAACATGCAAACTCCACCCACAAAGGTCCTGTGCTGGAATTTGAACCGACAACTTTGTTGAGAAGCAACACCAACTGTGCTGCCCTGGCCACCATCATATATATGTAAACTGACCACTCTCACTTAAGGAAACTGTTTTCTAGTTTTTATGTTGATTAAAAGTACATGTTCCTCAAACTATTGGGGTGGCCAAAGATGATCTATGGGGGTCAAGGCCACCCCTGGCCACCCCCTGGCTCCTCCATTACAGCTAGTGTATTAAAATGCTCCCTCCACTCACTGGTCACTGCGCTCTCAGAAAAGAAACAACAACAAATAAAAACTACCTCTTCTGATACACAGTGTAACTCCTGACCAATTGAACATCTTGCATCGAAAACATTTAAGGTTTATCTTTAATCCCTGTTCAGTTCCGGTCCAGAAAAACACTCGTCTCTCAAACTACAAAACATTCAGCGTGTAAATCCCCAGTGACGAGACATCGGCTTGTCTGTGAAAATCTAAGCTGACAAAATGCCACTACTTAGACATATAATCTGTTTAAGAAGTAAAGTTAAAACTACTTTCAGATGGGTCACCACAGGAACCACAGACCTATCTCTCCTTGACACAGCTCTTAAGACAGACAGACAGAAATGCCACTAGAAAGAAGGCCTCATCTGGTCATTATATAAAACTATGTCCTAGGTCGTATTAATAAAAAATAACCTGACCTATATTTGACAGAAGTGCCTGATTGTCAACACGTTCATGATTAAACCAAATATTTAGGATTTACTACTGGTTTATTTAATCGTAACCAGTTTCACGTGGTTCAGGCACTCCTGCAATCTAGACCTCTTTCTTCGATACAATAATCTCTAATGGGTAAATGAATGATGCACACAGAACTTCAAACACAAACGTGTTCATGACACTGAGGACATCCTGACGTGGAGCAGGGTTCTCTGGGACTCTGGCTCCAACTAACATTTGCAGGTTTTGGCCTCTGAAATGTGACTTGGTGTCTGCCATGTTTTATGTAGGATATGACACGTTAAAGTCATACAAGATGCAGCTAAAAGGTATTAAAATGTAAAAACGTACAAGTTTCTGTGACCTGTTTAAACCTGTAGAGCTTACATACATGATGGGGTTCATGAGGTGTTGTCCTTCGTCACGGAGCGAAGAGGAGAATTAGAAATGTCCATTTGTCAGTTGTGAACTTCTTAACTCAAAAAGAAAAGGTGAGGTACCAACTTCCATGTTGGTGTGTGGCTGCACCTACATGTAAGAAAGGTCACGATCAGACATTGGGTTCTAACCAGGGGCAGACTGGGACAATAATCCATGCTAGGAATTTGATCACGTAAACTGAAATTATGTTCGAGGGTGAGGTTCTGCCTCAAGTGGAGGAGTTCAAGTATCTCAGAGGTTTGGTTCATGAGTGAGGGAGGAATGGAGCGTGAGACTGACAGATGGATTGGTGCAGCCTCTGCAGTATTGCAGACACCGTGCTGGTCCGATGTGGTGAAGAGGGAGCTGAGCTGTAAGACAACGCTCTCTGTTTACCAGTCGGTCTACATTCCTACTCTCACCTATGGTCATGAACTCTGAGTAGTGACTGAAAGAATGAGATCGTGGATACAGGAGGTTGAAATGAGTTTCCTCCACAGGGTAGCTGGACTCTCAGAGATAGAAGTTCAGTTATCAGGAGAGACTTCAGAATAGAACCACTGCTCCTCCACATCCAGAGGAGCCAGTTGAGGTGCTTCAGGCATATCTGACTGGGAGGAGACCCCGGGACACTGAAGAGACTATGTCTCTCGGTTGACCTGGGAACACCTTGGAGTCCTCCTAGAAGAGCTGGACGAGGTGGCTGTGGAAAGATGTCTGGACCTCTGTGCTCAAGCTGCTGCCCCCGAATATATAAAGTAAGTTAACAGAAACATTCATATATATAAATAATAATGTCAGAGTCAGAGATTCTTTATTGTCATTCGCACCTCATGTGGTACATGTGGTGGAGCGAAATTATGTACACAGGGTCCCAGTTACATCCAACAATAAAATGTATAAGAAAAACAGTAATAACATCTAAGATATGAACTAAGAAAAACATCAACTAAATATACACTAAGCACTCATAACATAAAACATTGAACATCAGCACAAACATGAACATGAGTCTGTGAGCAGATGAGCACGCATGAACACATCAACATTGAAACAGATCAGCAGCAACATGAAACAGATCAGCAGCAACATGAAACAGATCAGCAGCAACATGATATGGTTTTTCACAGTGATTATTCTAGTTAGAGATTCATGAGTCTAACAGCCTCAGGGTAGAAGCTGTTCCTCAGTCTAGTGGTTCTACACTTAATGCTCCTCAACCTCCTTCCTGAGGGGAGTGGGGCAAAAAGTGTGTGTGCTGGGTGAGTGGGGTCCTTCATGATGCAGGTGGCCCTCTTCCTGCATCTAGAGGCGTAGATGTCTGTGATGGTGGGGAGGCTGACTCCAACAGATTTCTGTGCAGCCTTCACCACTCTCTGCAAAGCTTTTCTTTCTGCAGCTGTGCAGCCTCCATGCCACACATTGATGCTGGAGCACAGGATGCTCTCCACTGCACACCTGTAGAAGGAGGTGAGGACTGAGCTTCCCAGACCAGCTCGTCTCAGCCGTCTGAGGAAGTAGAGTCTCTGATGAGCTTTCTTGATCAGGCTGGTGGTGTTGTTGCTCCAGCTGAGGTTGTCATTCATGTGTACACCCAAGTACTTGTAGCTGGAGACCACTTCCACCGCAGATCCTCTTATGTTCAGGGGGGTGTAGGTGCGTTTGTTCCTTCTGAAGTCCACGATCATCTTGTCTTCTTCACATTGATGTGAAGGTTATTCTCTTTGCATTTAATTTAATATTTATCTGAGGAGCAGACTGCTTTGAGTAACTCATAGCAGAACTCTCATTAGCAGGACTTGGATTGTGGACACGCCTCCAGAATCGGTCCTAAAGTGCAGGTGCAAATCCAGGCTGAGTAGAGGTGTGCAGGGCTGAGCAGATTAGGGCCAGCGCAAACGGGGCATTAGTTTACTGTGGCAGCTGAAAGAAGAAAACTAAATTAAACAAGTAGTGACGGTTCAGTGACTGAAAATGTACAACAGCTTTCAGCAGTCGTTCAGCAATAATCATTCACAATGCATTTTTGCATGAAATTAAAATTCTGAAAAAGTAAAGTTATTTTTTTAAACTGACATCTTAATGCACTGATTGAACTGCACGTGTCAGTGTGTTTTGTGCTTTGAGTTGTTCCAAAGCTGCAGGAGCAGCACATGATGCCAACAGAAGCATCACAGTAGTCATGCTGTAACCTTTATTCATTGGCTGTTGGAGAGAAGCTTGCAGAAGATGACTGAACTAAACTGAAATGAAACAGCTTTTGGGTTGATCCCCCCAAAAAACAGGGTCAAAGCAGATGAGGCTAAATCTGACATTACATAACGTCGACACAACACTAAACCTTCCAAGACAAAAATGAGAAAACTGCAACTCTACATGAAAAATGTGTTTAAATATCCAACATCTGTTGTTTGACGTGTGTCTGGAGCAATAATGAAGTCCAAGAGAGCGGTAGAGATTTGTTTTCATGACCATGAGATAAAACATGTTGAGTTGATGTGAAATGTGACATGTTAATAAACCTGTTCCTGTGAACATCCTTCTTTAAATCCAGCGAGGTATGATGGACGACAGCGATCCCTGTGCTGGGCAGATAAAGACCTCCGTCCTCTTCAGCTTCATGTTTAACGCTCCCACTTTGAAAGTGAAGGGAATTAAAGAGCAGCAAATCCCCGAGGACACATCACTTATATAAGAAAAGTATTGTTCCTGTTTATTTGACTCCCCCCTGACAACATTTAATCTTTGGGACATGTGACCAACTGTGAATGGGCTGCATCCTTTCTGTCAGGTTGAAGTTATCGCTATACACAATGAACATGGGAAAAATAGTGCATCATTTCCATAAATGAGCATCTTTATGTAGAAAATTAGGCGTCTTTAAATAATCACCAGGATTATAACAACATGGCTTTTCCTCGTTATGAGTGAAAATCTTCTGACACGCTCAGAGGGGACAAACATGCTAATGCACCAACATTACAGAATAAAATCTGGGATTTGTGGATAAAGACAATCAAAGCCTTATGTTGCAGATTAAGGCATGTTTCCAGTTTAAATAAATATTTAACAGCCTGGTTTGTCTTCTTCAGTCCCAGCAGCTTGATTTAAATCACTAGCAGACATTTCTTTGACTGTCCAGTTCCCTGAGGTGTTTTGCTCTAACAGCTGATCAGGGATTGTTTTTTATGAGTTAAATAAAAGACGATTTACCATTTTGGTTACCTTATTTAGAAGGTGTGTGTTTTTTTACCCTCAAATAACCCATATCTGATCTATACTTTATAACTCTGACATTTGGGCATTGATGGATTCTGGAGGCCTCTAAGAACATGTGTAGAGATCATTGAACACATGACAGAGCAGGCCTTATCAGTTTTATTTTCTAAAACAAGACTTTCCTTCACAGCTCCTTCCAAAGCCGCCATGTTCCTTCTTTTACAGGTTCAACCCGTTTGGATCGAGCAACAAACATTTCTAACAGTGTCAGACGATGGTGCTTCAGGGATCAAAGCTGGAGTCCAGAGAGCCGCCCAGGTGGGCGGAGCTTACTGCTCCCAGCTCCTGTCAGAGCGCTCGCGCTTCACTTCGCTGCAGCTCCGCGGGACAGAGCGCGAGGCAGCGACCGCTCGTCAACGAACCGAACAACGACCCTGAGCTGCTGTAAGGTTCCGCGGGAAAATAAAGACCCACATGAGTGACTTTACATTTGGACTTCGCCTACAAGATAAAAGACACGGAGGTTGAACGCAGAAAAATGCGTTTACTTGCGTTTCTTTGAAATTATTTTTAGAATAAATTTACCAACTTAGTTTATAGAAGTTTTTTTTTGTTTTTTTTCCGAATATGCTGCACCTCTGAACTTCCTCTCGCTCCTTCGGCCATGAACGCTTTTAATTTCACCGGCTTGTTTGACGGACAGGCTTACCCGTACTCGGGGTCCACAGAGGACCCCCTGTACAAGCAGTACAAGCCCGCCGTGAAGGAGTTAATCCCGCTACCGAAGGGGGTGCTGTACCTGATCATGGCCGCCCTGGTGGTCGTTGGAGTCGCCTACGCCATTGTTGGACATCTCATCAAGGACCTGGCCATCGACATAGCAGGTAAGATACTGACTGTTGTTTTACAGGTGTGGAAGAAGGTTAGTATATAGTATATAGTTACATATATATATATATATATATATATGTATATATATATATATATATATATATATATATATATATATATATTATCAACTTCTAACCTAAATCTCAGAATTCTGAGATTAATCTCAGAGTGAATGTCAGAATTCTGAGATTAAAGTCAGATGCGTCTCATGTGAAGATTAGGGCCACAGTGCAAACATTTTTATTTATCTATTCAATTCAAACTCAATTCTAACTTTTTTCTTTAAAATTTTGATTTTCATCTCAGAATTATAAGATTAAAGTCAGAATTATAAGATTAAAATCAGAATAATGAGATGAAAGTCAGAATTGAGGAACTTATTAATCTTTTTTTTTTTTTTTTGCACTGTGGCGCTAATCCTCTTCTGAATAGCATATGAGAGTGAAATGTATGGATTATTCTAATCTCACGCAGTTTGTTTATTTGCCTCTAAAGTTGACCCCGGATGCCATTTTAGCCACTGATCGTTACGTTTAAAGTTGCCATTGTTGACGTTTCCTGAACTGCCCCGCTCGTCTTCCTCAGATTGTTTGCTGGGTCCAGCTGGAGATGAAGAAAAGGGGACAGAAGCCGACCCCCAGCACGGCCTGGTCTTCGGTCACCCTCCGGCCCACCCGTTCGCCCACAACGCCTTCCACGTGTGGGACCAGGACGACGTCGTCATCCCTCTGTCTCAGGATGAAAGCCCCCTGACCAGCCCGCTGCTGCTGGCTGCCATCCCCTACATCCCCTCCTTCTTCCCACACTCGCACAGCCCAACGAGCCCCCAGGGCCTCTCCGGCAGCCCGGCACTGAGCATCCCGAGGGAGTTCTGACTCTGGTAGCAAGTGGCCTTGCAGAACGCATCCGCAGCTCAAACTTTGCAGACAGCTTTAGCTGTTCCTGACACTTCGCTCACTGTTTTGCCTCACGACTTTAAACCTGCAGACCAAAGAAGGTGAAGAGGAACTCAGAGAACCGAAAGACGGACACTTTTTTAGCTGTTAAGTGCACTCGTTGTACATAAAATAAAGTGTTTTCCTCCACGTCGAGCAGAGAAAATATTCTGTTTTAGTCCCGCACCGTAATCTCAACAGATTGTCCCATCTGTTCCACCGTTATAATCCACTTGTGTGACAAGAGATTAGCTGTAAAGTCAGCTCAGATTTAGAGGTTTCGGAGTAAAAGGCCCATCGTGTCTTGTTTTCTGGAAGTTATCTCAGCTCCCAACATAACTGAGAAAGAAGTTTCCGCAGGTTGAGCCAGACGGCTTCTGTAAAATGTTATTTCAAGGCACCGAGGGATTAGCATACGAGGAAGACTTAACGGAGTTCCTGCAATTCAACATGTACACACACAAGACTCCCTAATCTGGCAGTCCCTATCGTAGGTGTCGCACGTAACCTTGACCCCCCCTCCCCCTCTTGTCTGGTCTGAACCAAACAATGCAGCATCTAGCATTAAAGCACGAGGTCCACCAGCACGTTAATCTGTCATCAGATACCAGCAGAGGAGCAGAATGTGGTGCTCCCCTCTGCAGCTGCACTTCAGCTGCTTTCTCAGTCCCTCACATCATTTTGACCTCATGTTTACAAGTTCCCCAGAGTCTAAATACATTTCAACAATACAGCTACAAAATACGAGACTGTATGAGGTTCCATTGGCTTTGACACCACCACCACCACCACCACCACCACCATCTTAAGAAGTCTTCAGTATTTGCAGCCAAGCCACACGCTCAAATGTTTTTATTTACAACTTCTTGCCGCTTTCAATTGATGAGCTTTGTCAAAAACAGCTTAGTGAGGCGACTGCGGCTCTGACCTCTCTCTGAACTGCAGACGTGCTCTTTAAGAACGAGTGAAGCTGCTTTGGAAGTGACATGACAGGTGCATTACTTGCCCCCTCCCACATACTAAAAACATGCTCGTTAATTATTAAAGCTAGTGCGTCGTTTCCTTCATCCAGCACAAGTCACTTCAATGACTCCGTTCAGCTCCACGAGGTCTCAGTAGTTTTCCATATAACTGTTGCCTCGGTGAAGGTTGGTCGCAATAGTGCGATCGTCCGACATTTACCACCTACATGTAAATAAAAGATCATTTAAGTCACAGAATGTTCATCGCCCTCTGCCACAATTTCCAAAAACGTCATGACTGAGTCTGTCAGAGCCCACGAGCCAAGTCCGTGTGGTCCAACTCTGTCTGAATTCTGTCATCAGCCAAAAAGCAAGTAAATGTCTGCACCTCTTCATAGTACCACAGTACACACGCACACACACACACACACACGCACACACAGGTTTGTTTTGCTATCTTTATGGGGCCTTTGCATTGACTTCCATTCATTTTTCATTCATTTCTATAGCCTAACCATGACCTTTATCCATAACCTAACCATTACCAGTACATACCTAACCCTAAACCTAACACATACTCAATTCACACCTTAGTCCTAAACCTAGCCCCTAACCCACCAACGGGACTTCTTCTTATGGGGCCCGGGCTTTGGGCCCCATAAGGAGCAGTTGGTCCTCACAATGTAGTATAAGTTGGAAAAATGGGCCTCACAAAGTAGCATAAACAAGGACACACACACACACACACACTATAAAACAACGAAGCTGCGAGGTTTTAAAAACGTTGGGTTTGATCGTTGTGAAGGAGACACTCGATTGTCACGTCCTGCAGTCTGTTCACATTAAATCTTCTGCTCGCGTGGAACTTCTGCTGAGGAGGTCCGAAGAACCAAGCTGACCCCCCATGGAAAGACTGAACCCCCACTGGGTCAACTTGAGTAGGGCCAGTTTGAGTCCATGGAAAATGGACTGTAATGGTCTCCAGAGAGCATGAAAGGTTGTCAGACTCGTGTCTCTGGGATGGACTGGCGACCTGACCACGGTGTAGCCCTCCTTCAGGTGAGCGACTGCTGGACCTGGGCACCAAGTTATAAACTTGAGGAAGTTTTGCGTTAAATGATTGCATTAAATGTTGTGTGTTTGCAAAAGCTAAAAACAGCAGCAGCAACTAGCTGTAGCACTTCTGGTGCAGCCTGGGGCACATCTGGCAGTATCGTATTTCAACAGAAACAGCCAGAAACTCCATTTCTCCACACCGAGAGGTTTTGTAAAGTTATCTACGACAGGTAAGATACTAACTACTCACAGTCTTTCCACAGAACCCTACTTCAATCCAGCTGAAAAATCTCTATGAGAAGACATGAAGTCAGGGAGTGTAAATACATGGAGGACAGAGGAGAAAAATGTGAAATAAAGTGATAATAACGTCTGAGATGTGCTTGAATTAAACAAAAAACAAATTTTATCTCTAAAAATGACTCGTGAAAACTGATTATACAATAAAATGAACACGTTTAATCCCATCCAAACTTTTTTTTTAAAATAGCCCTCTTCTATTTATAAAACTCAAAAATAAAACATTTTAATACTAGAAGCTTATTTTAAGAGCGCAGTAAACAAACCTTGAACTAGATGTTGTTGTTTTTTAATCATTCAAGATAAACCAACGTGTCTTTTGTTTCAGTTTATAGATTCATGTCAGTCTACCTATAAAAATAAACGCTTCATAAAAACACCAGAATATATAGATCGTTATAAAACTGTTTATTCTGACAAAAGTAGCTTTGCTTTTCCCGTACACGATCATTTCATGTAATCATTTGGGCGAGATGATGCTGGATGCAGCTTCTGGGAGGTAAAGAGTCGTAACGAGCCGACAGGTTTTAGTCTGAAACTAACCGGGGGTGGAGGTGGTGGTGGTGGGGGGGTTCTCTGTCCAGGTGTACAAAAGTAAAACGAGTCCATTAGGAGTTGTTGGAACTGGGCTGACGCTCAGGAGTCCAGTCGACATATGGGGCTGTCGTAGACCATCTGAAGGTTGACCTTGTGTCCCACCAGCTCTCTGATGTTGTTGATGCCGTATTTAATCATGGTGGGCCTGCGAGGCAGAGCAAAGGGTTAAACCAGCTCCATGAAATAGAAACCTCTTGTTTTTACCGTGAGCACATTTCAGCGCTAATCTTTCAGCTGACTGTTCAAATCCAGTCAACCAGCGAGTGACCTCACATAAAGATCAGGCATTTTTGTTTTACGTTTAATGCGTACCCCCCCCCCCCCCCCCCCCCCCCCCCAAAAAAAAAACAAAACAAACAAACCTGTGGCTGAAAATGAAACCTTTTTGATCAATTTTAAATTACTGTAATTTCCAGACTATAAGCTGCTATTTTTTTTTTCACACACTGAACACCGCGACTTACACAACGCTGCGGTTAATTTATGGATTTTTTTTTTTTTTTTTTTTTGACAAACCCACAAGCTTCAAGCTGCCAAATCATCGCACCCAGGCGCCCAGTACACGTCTCTCTTGGGAGGTGGGTCCTCCTGACTCAAAGAGACTACCTGTATAAATAAAGTTAAAAAACTGACCAATGAAACTTGGCTTCACTGGTCCACTGGTGAGGAACTTTGTTTCCTCCCTCCCTGGGAGCACAACAACGTATTTGCAGCCACTTGAAATAAGTGAGGAGAGCACAAGCTGTCCTCCATCCTTCTTGTGAAGGTAGTAATCAATAACTTCCTGGTAGGCTACTGTGTTTTATTCATGTTTTAACCAGCCATGTTACAGGCACTGTTCAGGAAAAAACATTTACTGTACGTATTTGTGTACGTTACCGGTACGTATTTAATTAAAAGTTTTTAAAACCTTTCTGTGTAAATATCTCATGTTACAACTCGGACACCCGTGGCTTACAGACGAGTGTGGCCTGTACATGCACAATTTTTGTTTCTTTTTTAAAGTTGGTGGGCACGGCTTATATTCAGGTGCGCTCAATAGTCTGGAAATGACGGTAGTTGTATGCCACTTTAAATGTCCAACGTTTTCAGTTCTTCTTAGAAAAAATGTCAATATATAAATGTTATTTACAGTTTGGGACTCTCTCTTTGCTTTTATTTCTATTTTTTATTAAACTAAATAAATACATCTGCTTACTCAAGTCCAATACACATCAAACACAAACAGAGATTTGTGTGTGGAAAAATATTTAAAATAATTTATAAACACTGTTTTGGTTTCTGTGGAGTGGAAAAACAGCTCGGTGCAACACGAATGTCCTAAAAACATTACCAAATAGTGAACATTTATAAAAAAAAACACAAACATATATTGTAAAAAGCCACTCTGTCAAAAATACTAACAGTTGATGTCCCTTGGACCAGAGTTTTGGACTCTTAAAACCAGTCCATCTTCTCTAAATCCCATTTTAAAAGAACTTATGTTACACACAGCTCTTATTTGTCACCAGGAGTCCAGCATTAATTATTGTGGCAACATTAATCCTAAACCCTGAGAAGTCAGAGGTTAAAGTCATCTCACGGACTCCCAGAGACCCTCAGGTCTAAGATCAGAGTCAGAGCAGCAGAGATCTGGCTGAGGGAGCCAGGATTACTTGGTGGGGGTTATTAAAGGCTTTCCCAGCTCACTCAGTCTGTCATTAGCAGAGATGAGTCGTGTTCAAGCTCCACAACAAGCTGCGCTTCTAACGGAGAAACCAGCACAAGAGCCACATCCTGACAGTGGAAGCCTGTCAGGAGAAACACAAACTGATCCGTTTAGATTACGGAGAACAAATTCATGAGTTTGAAACAAATTGAGATTTTAGTCTGTGGTAAGAATCACACCTGAAGGACTGTTCGTATATAAATGATGTAGAAACAAAAGCGCTGCTCTTTAGGGAATAAACGAAACAAAGTGGGTCAGCGTGAGCCACCGTTAACGTCTGAATGGAAGCTCTTGTGCGTTCGGAACAGTTCCTGTGCACAGCATGTTCTGCAGGTGTTCACCTCTCCAGAGAAAGGCCCCAGGCTATCACAGACACGTCCTCAGGGAGGCCCATGGGCAGCAGCATCTCTGGTCTGAAGACGCCTGAATTTCCTACTTCCACCCACTTTTCGAGTCCTGTGGGGACAAAACAATGAATTAGACGAGAGAATAAAAACTGAGCAGAGATGAAGAACTAAAGCGAACAGAAATAAAGAAAAAGTGTTTGTTCAACAGAACATCTTGAAGAGGGCACAGTTTAAAGAAAAATAAATCTTTCACTTAGGTTTATAAACTCTGAAATCACATAACCGTGACTTCATTTAGAGCTGCTCCAGTACAGAGTTCAGCGTTTCCCATAGATCAGTTCTAGCAGGGTGCTCATCGGGGGAAGCGGAGCGGTACGCCAGTAACATTTTTGCCAACACGTTTGTATTGCGTCCCATGCTACATCAATAGACAGCTGTCGACGTTCTGTTGACGGAGCGGGGCACTCTGCTTGTATAATGGTAGAAACACTGGATTTCTAACTGGTGTCCTCGTCGCCGAGGGATTAGAAAAGTGAAAGTTTGTCATTTTTGAGACAGATGTTTTTCCAGACTGGACGTTGACGTGGCAACCTGGTTTTCAACAGGAAACTTTCTTACAACCAGACGCAGCTACGCAACAAAATGGAAATTGCTTATTTTTCAAGTTATTTTACTCACAAGGTTTACATATGTACAGTAGTCCCTCGATACTTCGCGGTTCGACTTTCGCAGACTTACCAGTACTCTTTCATGGGTTTTCAATGTAAGATTGTACACGACACATGACTGGCAATGGTGAAAGACAGACCCCACTCCTGCCCCCTCCTTTCTCTTTCTGAGGCTGTCTTGTCACAGCAGAGCAGACAAACAACAAGCAGATGTGCAACGTCTCTGCTCTGCTCTGACAGGCAGCCTCAGAAAGAGAAAGGAGGGGGCAGGAGTGGGGTCTGTCTTTCCCCATAGCTACTGCTCAGGGAGCAGGGATGAACACATCAAATGAACAAATAATCAGGTCTCTCTTGTAAAGGAGTCCTAGAGGCACAATGAGACTAACCTGTATAAATAAAGGTTGAATGGGAAAAAAAAAAGTAGAATATCGAAGAAAATGCTTAGGTGGAAAAATAAAGAGTGAATCAGTTTTTAAAAATGGCTGAGCGTGGCTCACTCAGGTATAAGACGGAGTACCCCCCTCCTTTCTTTTTCCGAGGCTGCCACAGCAGAGACGCACTCTGCTCTGCTGTGACAGACAGCCTCAGAAAGAGAAAGTGTGTAGGTCTGTCTTATAGCCGAGTGAGCCACACGAGCGGCATGACTTGTTTATTTAAAATAATCAAGCGCGGCATAAACCAAGCCTTTAGTCCCATCGGCGATCATTGAGCGGGCCAGGCCACCGGGAAATGTCCCGGTGCTCACAATAGCTAGTCGGCCCCCAGGACTGGCTCAGTAACCGCAGCATCAGTCTGTCTGCTGTCTTTCACTGGGCTCTTTTAGTGTTTAGAGAGTTTAGAACATTGTTAAGAACATTGCAAGAGTGTGGGAAGGGTTTATAAATATAAATAAAATATTTAAATATATAATATTATATAATATTTAAATAAAAAAAAATATATATACATAAATAAAAAAAATAAATATAACGTTCCTACTTCCTGTATTTTCATCTATCGCACGGGTGTCTGGAACATAACCCCCATGATAAGTGAGGGACTACTGAATACACATTTATGGTGGCAGCCATCTTGAATTTTGATGTGGGAACCCAATTTTTCAAAGGAATCTTTTTTTATACGACTAGAAAGGTTTTATGGTTAATTGATGATGTCATGTTTCAGTTTACCTTCATGATAGCTGAACACTTCCATGCTGGGCTCTGTGTAAGGGTTGTAAGCTGGCTTGAAGCGCAGTTTGGTAATTCCTGGAGGACAAACAGACAGACGACATTGTGTGACTGCAAGTTTAAGGGTTCACGAGCACAAACAAAACAAGTATGTAAACTGTAAATTTATTAAACAGATCCTGCAGCTGCACCTTCAGAGTACTAACAGGGTTTCTGCAGAAATCAACCAATCAAATTTAATGTTTGTTAATGCCAATTTAATACCATATTTCATCATTTTTATTAGAGTCTGACCCATACATACCGAAATGTTGAGCTGATACAGGTGTTTGTGGACATATCGGTGATAATTGTCCCATTATGTAATTATATAAACACTTGATTTTCACCCCTAAAATGCTGGAACCACCTGTAATTGTACAATGTATCCAGCAGAAGTCACATGAAGACTACTTCCATGTCATGGTTGCTCACTTTAAGTTTCACTTTCAGCACAGTTGAAGCAGGGAGGGGAGCAGTAGTGTATTTTTATGAACAGAACATGGTAAATTTACTTTTAACTGATGTGTAAAATAAATCAGAAATCTTGACCAAGTCGTTACAAAGGTTTTTTTTTAAAGTAGTTCTGTTCATTTGTACAATTTCTGCATCACGATTCTCCTTCAGAAACACTTAACAATAAGAAACACCTCCATTAGGTTTACTCCTCAGCGTCTTCTGTAGATCCTTACCTAGCTTGGTGAAGAACTGGTGAAGGATGCCCATGAGGTCTCCCAGAGTCAGCCCATAGTCGGCCACCACGCCTTCTATCTGATGAAACTCTGCTAGATGGGTGGCATCTAGGCTCTCGTTCCTGAACACCCGGTCGATGGAGAAATATTTGACGGGGGTAAACTTCTCCTGGAGGATGGTACCACAGGTAAGAGATAAGAGTTTCAGGATTAATGACAACGCGGGCGTACTACATATATTATGTAAGACAGGGGTGCCCAAAACGTCGATCATGATCTACCGGTCGATCGCAAAGGCATTATGGGTAGATCGTATGGCATTAAAACAATAGGTGTCAGCCTATCATCCATCCTCACTATGACATTTGTTACTTGACTGACATACAGGGCAGCCAGTCACAGCCCTCATTCTCTCAAACCAGGTCAGAGTGGAAATTTTCGTGGAAAAAATTTATATTTATCCATATTTATTTATCCCCCTCGTGAAATTCTCCGTTTATGAAGTTGCACGTGAGGCGGCTGCAGTCAAAAGCTTTTCTGCACTAACAACAGTTATAGTAAATGGCAAACAGCAAAATGTTTTTGTGCTACTCACCATTTTTCAACATGTAGGAGCAATAAACTAATAAAATCCAGGGTCCAAAGAGATGTTAGTGTATTCATCAGTTTGAATGTAACTGTGATCATGCGGATGCTGCATGAGCGATGAATGCAGCTGAGCCTGCTCAGGGTTGCCAGATAAATTTAAAATGTATTATTTACCCCGTTCCTTTTCTGTGCACATGTTCAACAAACAACACAAACCTCATCTTAGAATATCTTTACTCAGCACATATGACAGTTTAGGTCAAAACACTATCACTTTAAAGCAGCAGTACTATAGTTAATCATTTCTTATCTGGCAACCCGACTGTCATGGAAACTACAGCGTTTTTTTGTGTAAACCCGCTCATTTTTTTTTTTACAGATCTTGTTGTTTGAGCTGTAAACAGCCAGCACAAAAAAAGTAACTGTCCAGATGACCGGACTGAAAAATGTTGGATGCTAACACACTTTAAAAAAAGAAGCAGCCCCTGGCTGCTGCTTTGTCTTCATCAGTCAGGGTGAACTTTAGTTTTTCATGCTCAGCTTAGTTTCGACTCCTTCACTGCATGTTTTAGATCAGCTCTGAAATAAACACAGCTGGAATGTGCAGCTCACCTGTTGAGCCAGTTTATAGAGCATCCGTGCACTGACAGCCGTAGTGTGAGTTCGGAGGATGTTCTTCTGAGCCTCCTCTATCTTCCAATCATATTTGTACCTGAAACACATGAGGATGCTGAATCCTGTCTGAAGCACGCGAGGTGCAGCGACGTTCCTTTAGCTTACTGTCACGTCTCACCCTTGTGAACCGTAACCTCCTTCTGAGTGGACCCGCTTCACTCGGTCCAGGTAGTCTGGAGGGAACTCGTGGGCGAGCGCGGGGTCTGAAAGATGACCACCACAAATGGTTTGGACTGGACTGAGGACTTTGGTAGAGGCACACTCAGTCTCGAGCTTACCAGACAGGAAGAAGGTGTCATGCTGGTCCCTCGCTGGGTGCTGCTGCGGCTGGAACAGCGAGTCAAAGTTCCAGAAAGAGCTTTCTATGAAGTTGTTGGTCGGCATCTCGCTGAAACTGTGGGAGAAAAACAGTTCATGTTTTGAGTTTTTATGGAAGCTGGTGAACGTCTAATTTTATTTTCTCGTTGGTTTTTCACAGATGCTCACCCCATCTCCAGGAAGATCTGTCTGAACTGTGTTCGCACCTTCATCAGGGGGTGCAGGTGACCACAGTCCGGGGCTACGCCCATGGCCTCAAAATTATAGGGTTTAAACTTCTTCTCCTTCCAGCTGCCTCTACAGGAAGTACATGCATTTACTAGATTACAAAATGCTATGAATAGAACGCAATGAAAAAAAAGTTTAAAAAAATCAAACCATTCTGAAAAAAGGAGTCCAGCCCACCATGACTTTAAGAAGACCGTTCTAGAGTCTAGGACCCAAAACAAACACGTCTTCTCCTATCAAGAGCTCTGAACAACTAGAAGCCTTTAATCCAAAGACCTCAAAGGTCTAGAAAGAGCGTAAGGAGTTAAACGTTCACTGATGTGAGCCGAAGGCTAAATGACCTTTTTATACTTACTAATGCTCATAAGTTAAAATCAGACACCAAACAGGTTCCTATCCATTTCCAGTTGGTGTTAATCTTTACCGTTTGGTCATTTACACCTGCTCTTTTATTGACCGTTATAGAAAAACATATTTATAAAATTAGTCTGACTGATTTATGTTGTGAGCGCAACATGCAAGGTTGCCAGGTGTCAAATGTATTTCAGTTAAACTATCTAGACCACAAAGCATCACAAAATACTGACTTTGAGCATTAGTAACTGTAAAAAATATATATTTTTACTGCTTTATGGACAAGGAGGAGTTGAAATAAAGTCTTGAATTTTATACAAAGACATTGTTGCCAGATAAGAACTGAGGAGATCCAAATGTCAAATACCCCTTCTTAGTGAACAACCTTGTAACAAAGTTTTGATTAAACTGTAAACAAGAAACAGAGTCTTTGTTTGGACATAAATGTAACGAGCAGCAGTAATCTAAACGAGATGACACAAAAGCAGAAAATACTGTTTTTAAGTGCTGGCAAGCTAAAAAAAAAAAAAAGCATTCTTGCTATATTTCTCAGGTGGAAAAATAAATTGAAGTAGAGATCCAACATGTTTATAATTTAAGTTGGTATTTGAAGATGACAAGATCCAAGTCACTGGAGGTTGTTATCAGAACTCGATTTGAAGCAAAAATCAACACGTCAGTTTTACACTGATTTAGCTGGGAAAATAATAATTTAAAGGGATCAAGTTGTTACTCTAATTTTCTAGAAATGTAACATTTGGGAGATCAAAATGCTTTAAAAATAGATAACTCTGTTGCTGGTGGCCTGGTGCAAGTGTATTACAAATAAAAATCAATCAGGACCAAGTACACACCCCTGAGTAACCTCGTAGTGTAAAGGTGCCAGAGAGCAAAAGCAAATCATCAGTTATGACAAAACTTTTGATTAGAAAAGTACACAGTAAACCATTTTAGAGCTACACAAACCCAACAGGAGAGAACATCAAAAGTACAACCCCCACCCCCAGCCCGCTCCAAATCTGGTACCAATTACATAACATTTCTCCCAATCCATAATACAGTTTTTAATCTGCAGCTGAGATGATTAAGAGCATCAAATCTGTGGGGTGCACAATCAGCAGTGAAACATAAAAGCAACATCAATTTGAATTTTGGAGTATTTGGATACTGATTTAATCTAAATCCCCTTCATGATATGCTTTTACGCAAACCAGAGATTAGTGCGCTTTTCACTCCGTTGTCATTTCAAAGCCCCATGTTTGTGTTGAAAACAATATCTGACACCAGAATCTTTTCAGTTTGTCCTGCTCTGCCTTTAGGACCAAGTCCATGTCTCTGGACTGGTCCCCATATTTTGGGCAGATGTTTCTCTGTGTCCTCAGTCTGAGAGCTGCACAACGTCACTGTTCGACGGAGGAGCCCAGACAGGACAACATTTTCATTTGTGTTTGTCAACAAAACAAGACGGGGAATAAACAAACAATAAAACCAGACTCACGTAGCAATCATGTCAGGAGTGAGCTCCGTCTCCTGTTTGGATACAGTGGTGCTGAAAGAGCTGCCTTTGGTGATCCAGTAAGACTTAAGTGTCCTGAAAATATAAATTATATTGACACATTCAGTAAACAAACTAAAAAAAAGTGTAAGGAGAAGAGGGTGCACATGGAATCGAGCTTAAAACCTCATGTTACACTCCGTATAGAAGGTATTGCTGAAAACAAAACAAAAAATTAAAGTTTTGAATTATTTCTAATAATATTTGTACATTTTCATCACATGTCAGAAAACAAACTAAATTAATCGTATATGACTGAGATACTGAAAACTTTCCAGTAAGTTGTAGCTCTGATTTATACACTTATGTAACATCGACTCTAAACCTATTTAATCTAGTGACGGCAGTATTACAGTGCACCAACGCTCACTGCTCAAATAACTGTGCTGGGAAGATTCCCAGCACAGATGCTGCAGGATGTGAACACTAACGAAGAACATGGAGACAACTAGAATATTTCTGGAGAACTCTGAAGGGAGTCAAAGCAGCTACTGTCAAAACTCCAACATCCATCAACTTTCTTTTATGAAGCACAAAAATGATTTGGGATTTATTTGTGTAATAATCTAAACTCGCAAAATGCTGATGTTTTGATGTATAAACTGTATAAAGGGTGCACGTAGTTACTTTGCCGAAGATTTTTGCAAAGTTCATCCACTAAAAAAAATTGAGTTATGACACCAAGCTGAAGTTTTAGTGGCAATACTTTTAAAACCCATAACACTTAAAATAACTGCCTAAACTTCCTTAAAGATAAAGATATCAAAAATACAAGTTCAGTCTCATGAACTTCCAACTTTTGGTGACCTGTTTGAACTCTGGATACGTTTCTACAGTGAAGTCTCAACACAGAAGTTTCCACAATTTGCTGCAAATGTGATCTACACTGTACTTACACCAAAAGTCACAGCACTCCTGAAACAGCAGCACAGCTGGATATAATTTTGTTTTAAAAAAAAAAAGTTTTGGAAGCAGTAGCAAATCAAACATTGTGTCAGAAATAGAGGAATAACTCATGACTGGTAATGAAGTGGGGCTTGTGTTTGCATTAAAAGTCATGAATAAATAACGGGCTGTACTTACATAGTACATTTCTATCTGATCAAGATACTCACAGCTCTTTACACTACAATCTGTGTCCTCGTGTACCTATTCATACAGCTCTCTACTAGATCTCTACAAAGAATAATCACAGCTTTATCACATTCAAACACCGGAGGCATCGAGGGGTCTTGCCCAGGGACACTTCAGCATGTGACTGCTGGCGGAATCGAACCCCCAACTCTCCCATTGGAGGACGACTGCTCCAACCACTCAGCCACAGCTGCCCTAGTTAATAAATGCCAATAAAAAGAAGAAAATAATGTGAAGAAAATAAAATCTGCACTTTAAGAGCTGAAACGTGTTTTCATGTGGTGACTCAGCGCAGTGCTCTCATCACTGTCACTGTAATTCTAAAACCTCATCGGACGTGTTGTAGGACTGAAACGGCTGTGATGAACCACACTGATAAACCTGCAGTCAGCATTTTTACTGGAGTTCCATAAGAGAACACCCTGAGTCAGCTTCTGGTCTAAAGAGGATCTAAACAGTGATGTTCATTTTGCTCCAACCATGGTTTCTGTGCTCCAGAGGACGAGGTCAGCCAAGAAGAAGGTGGACGGTGAGAGGACTGAAGAAAGGAGACGGGAACATAAGATGTAAGGTAGGGAAAGAGGGAGGTAGCATAGACAAAACTGATGAATTGTTAGGGAGGCTGGACACTAAAGAAGGCAACGACTTACAAGTGGTGGTGAGACAGTGGGATCAGACTGGAAAGGATGTGCAGCAGGTTAGGTTTGTTAAAGTTACTGTTCTAACAAGGGAGGAGAGTGTGACAGAAAGATGGAAGGAGTTCTCTTCCTTCATTATCTTCTCAAAGAACAGTAGAGTCAAACAAACTGGACCAGGAAGTGGTAGAGATTAGCGAGGATGATGACGTTTGAAAAGCTTTGAAGAGGATGAAGAAAAGGAAGGAACTGGCTGAGTCATCCACAACACAAAATTAGAGCAAATATCACAACATTTTTGTTTAAATCTTCAACATTTAAGGTGGCAGACCACATATCTTTCAAGGATGCTACTTTTATACAACTTTTAGTATGTATAACACTTCTGAATTGGTTGTCATTGTGAATACTGCTTAGGGCCGAACAATTAATTGCATTTGCAATAATATGGCGATATGATAAATGGTCACATGATCTGGTTACGTGACTTGCAAGCGAGCGGAGCAAAGCAGAGCAGGGATCGGGAGAAGTCGACGCTGCAGTTTAACCGGTTGCACAATGGCGTCAGGCTCGACAGAAGCTGATACATGTGGAAGTTTGGTACCAAAGAGCGGCAGCACGCCCGTTGTTTGGAGTTATTTTATCTAGAATAAAGACGACGCTGCCAACGACAAGTATTGTGCAGAACCTGTCTCGCTGCTGTTGCTACCTCTCGAGGTAACACCACGAATCTTTACCAACACTTAAAAACACCACAAAGCTATTTATGATAGTTGCATGGCTAGAATGCCAATGACCAGTAAACCAACAGGGATCACTGGCCGAACTGTCGAAGATTACTCCGTATGAACATAATTCAAAACGACATGCGGAAATAACTCGAGCAGTAACAGAGATCGTAGCGAAAGACATGATGTCCATTAATAGAGTGACCAAGCCTGGGTTTACGGCTTTGGTAAACGCAGTGGATAAATGGTACAGAATGCCCTCGTGCACACATTTAGCCATGTTGCTATCCTGGAGTTACACAAAAAAAAACATGCAGAAACAGAGTTGCAGCGGAGCTGAAAACAGTGGAGTTTGTTGCAACTGAAACAGATTTATTGTTTGTGTTCATGAGGAAAAAGACATTATTAAATCGCAATAAGAATATTTTCCAAAATCCTGCAGCCCTACTGCTTAGTATATAAATGACAATTGTGTGTATTTGTATACTTGTACATCAAATTAACTCACTGTCACTTTTAGTCAAACTGAACCATCACCTTTTGAGATGCCTGGCTTTTTAAGCTGCATTGTAAAAACTAAATCCTCCTGATATTCAGCAGTTCCAGAAATATGTCTCCATTTGTCTTTTAACACAGGACACTTTTGACTTCAATCAAGCATCTAGTCTGGAACTGGTCACAATATCAGGATGATTTATGTATCAAATGTGAACTCAAACACCAGCAATCTGAAAATGTGTCAACTTCAGTTTGACCAAATACGACTATCACTGATTTTAAGTGACGGATCATATGTGAGGGTGTAAACTTGTGTTCTGTTTATAGTGTGACTTGTTAACATCTGTAAAGTAGATTTTCTGGCTAACTTTGACAAATTTATGGTCCATCCATCTATTTTCATTTCCTGCCTCTCCTTTTCCAGGCTGCTGGAGTCCATGTGCAGGTGGCAGGTCCATCACGAGACAAACCAAGCAATCACCCATCCACACTCTCACTCACACCTAGGGACAATTTAAGGCTCTTTCTGAAGACAGTTCCGCAAAACGACTGCACAGCCCATTCAGTTCATGTTCCCTCCGACAGTTCATAACTCACCGATGGAGCCGCTCCCCGTACAGCAGGCAGAGCGGAATCAAAAGATGCAAAGAAAAAACAAAGCTGCTCGGACGTGTTGCTCCACGGATTATTCCGAAGACGAGGTGAACGAACGTGAGGCAGCGATAATCCTTATGTTATGCAAGATGTTTATGTGAAATATGAAGTTGCAGCATTTTATCCTCTGCATGTAGAGCGAGGAGCTCGCGGGTCTCAGAATCACCAGTTTGCCATTGTTGAATGCAGAGATTACAAAACAGCTTGTTTGAGAAAGTGAACAAACACCCAGAAGGAGTACGGCGGTGGTGTTTTGACTTTTAAATCCCGCAGCTGGATGGTTGAGCAGCAAAGCCGGCTCACCTTCTCAGATAGACCGTTACCGGCCTGTGACTACCTCACTGGAGGAAGAGGTGGGGTGTTTCAGTCTCCCCTCGCTGCCTCCATGTGTCTTCTGAATGGACCGAGGTAAGGAGAAGACATGTCAGTCCTGGACTGAAGCGTCTTGTGGATGAGATTTGAGAGTTAGCAGTTACCTTTAGGTTTGTGGGAAGAAAGCGGAGAACTCGAAAGGAACGCGCACGTGTACAGGGAGAACATGTGAACTCCAACCAGAAAATATCCTGATGCATGCTCAATAATCCAGGTAAAAAAATCCAAGAAAGTTCAATCTGGTCCTCTGGACATTCAAAAAAACAAAAAACAAAACAAAGCAAAAAAAATGTAGAAACGTTTCGTCTCTCATCCAAGAGACTTCCTCAGTCTGAGCTGCTGTATTCAGCTCAGTCTCTTAAATAGCACCTTCTCAGAGTGGATCAGCCAGTTTTGCTGCTGACAACCAAAACCAACTGATCACATGCTCAAGAAGGACCATCAGCCTAACAATGGATCATTAACACACTGATGGCTGTTTACTATTCAAAGGGGGTTGAGTGATACCAGCAATCACAGCATTGGGGATGCTCCCATCACCCTTTGGAGCACAAGTTAGGAGTCATCAGGACTCTGTATCACAGAGCAGACAGC